GTATATATATATATATATCTGTATCTATATAAATTAGTGTATATATTAGTAAATAATGTGTGTAATATATTATTATCTCTATTATAATAAAAATAATAACTTTTCTCATATCTCTTCTGAAAGGACTTTAACATGCTTATCTTTTCAATTTAGTATAATACAATAGTATATTTAATTTCTGTTTTTAGGCATAGATATTTGTAGTAATGTCACATGCCCTAACGGTGGAATGTGTGTTCCTAATCTCGACACGTGTGAAACATCATGTACAGGCTATAGTTGTGAAAAAGGTAAGTGTGGTTGTGAAACAAGGTTACACTAACTTATAACTAACTTTGTGAATAAAATTTATCTGTTCAACTTCCATTTCAGTCCAAACATCATGATCTTGTTATAAAAAAAGTCATACTTGGCTTAACAAAAAAATTGTAAAAAATTGAAAATTGTTACACGAACAAAAATAATCAATGATGAAATTTCTCAAATTAATTTAGACAAAAATCATATAGTACAGTACATACTAATTACATAAACATAAAATACATATAGGTAAGCTATTTTTAAATATATATTAGGCCCTATTATATTTCACTACATATTTCAATGTATATGAATTTCTTCCTATATCGAATGAAACATTGTGAGCATCACAAACAAATAACATGTGATGTTCTGTCATTGTCAGTCATTTCCCATTCTAATAAGACTAATAACACAATTCCGAAATAATCGAACTAAAAAAGATATTGGTATTATCAGCGTCTACAATTTCACCCATTCTTAATTCATTTCAGATTTTGATATCCCTTTCATTGTATTCAATGTTCAATGTTTACTTCCACAATTCAATAATATTTTATGTTATACATACAATAATAATAATAATAATAATAATAATAATAATAATAATAAATACAGATATAGCAAATCGTCAAACAATTGGATTTGATTAGTGGAGGAGGCTATATAAGCTGATTAGACTCGTCTTATCAGCTTTAAGCCATAGCCCCCTTACATAATGGTTTAAATTGTATTACTAATTTTATCTTTTTAAAGTAAAACAAAAAAGGAAACATAAAAAAATAAATAAATAACACAAAAACAAAATAAATGAAACAAATATTATTATATTATATGTAAATCTTGTGAGAACCGATAACATTTTTTTTCCAATGCATTTCATAATAACAAATTTAATTATGATAATGAAAACAGTAATAGTAGCAACAATAATTATAATAATAATAATAGTACCGACAACAATAGCAATAATAATAATAATAATAACAACAACAACAACAACAATAATAATAATAATAATAATAATAATAGTAATAGTAGCAACAATAACGATAATAATAATAATAAGAATACCGACAACAATAGCAGTAATAATAATAATAATAATAATAATAATAATAATAATAATAATATCAAAGACAGTAATAACAATAATAGTAGTAGTAAGAACAATAATAATAAAAATAATATCATTACTATTACTATTTCAAACCATCGCCACAATCACCACTACTATTATTAAAAAGGGAATATATTAGACCACAACAAGGCACACGTCTAAAGAAAATATTTATTCTTCGTAAGTATTTGCACATGTATTAATACTCCTATAGATTTATTTTGGTATTATTATCTATTTTTGTATCCATCACATCATTTCATTTCATTTTGTTTGGCTTTTTTTTTACCATTCTCATTGTCATCGTCATTATAATGTATTACAAATTACGTCCCACAGAGGTAGAGCTTGATTATTCGAAACTACAAAAGCATTTTTTTCAAAAATTAATAAATCAAGAAGATGTTGTAGACATATGTTGTGCCATTCATGTTTTGTAGACCGACCAGATGAGTGTTAGTATATAGTATATAGTCTGGAATAAACATGATGTAAATATAAGAGACAGGTTTATTACCGTGTGTAGGCGAGACTATAGTAATATTCAGAGATTTTACGAATCGATAAACAAATATAACATTTAAAAAAATTATATTTTGTAGTAATTTCCGAATTTTGGCTAACTTCCACGGCCAGGATCGGAAACTCTCCTTGCTATTCAAAGGGATCACGTGCTAAGACCCATGCCTTCGAAAACATGTAAGGCTAAACCATTGCTTTCCCGGTGAAAGCTTAATGAAAGTAGCGATTAATCACTAATTTTACCATGGTATATTGAGTACCGGTACAACGTAATATAATATATTATATTATTATTATTATTATTATTATTATTATTATTATTATTATTATTATTATTATTATTATTATTATTATTATCATCATTATCATTATCATTATCATTATCATTATCATTATCATTATCAATA